TATTTGTAAATCAGGTTGGAAAATAAGTATTTGGCCACTTCAAACAAGGAAAATCTCTGGCTCTCACAGACCTGTAACGTCTTCTTTAAGAAGCTTTTCTGTCCACTCGTTACCTGTAATAATGGCACCTGTTTGAACTCATTAGCTGTATAAAAGACACCTGTCCACAGCCTCAAACAGTCAGACTCCAAACTCCACTTTGGCCAATACCAAAGAGCTTTCGAAGGACACCAGGAAAAGAATTGTAGACCTGCACCAGACTGGGAAGAGTGACTCTACAATAGGCAAGCAGCTCGGTGTGAAAAAATCAACTGTGGGAGCAATTATCAGAAAATGGAAGACATACAAGTCCACTGATAATCTCCCTCGATCTGGGGCTCCACGCAAGATCTCATCCCGTGGGGTCAAAATGATCATGAGAACGGTGAGTAAGAATCCCAGAACCACACGGGGGGAGACCTGGTGAATGACGAATGACCTGCAGAGAGCTGGGACCACAGTAACAAAGGTCACCATCAGTAACACACTACAACGGCAGGGAATCAAATCCTGCAGTGCCAGACGTGTTCCGCTGCTGAAGCCAGTGCATGTCCAGGCCCGTTTGAAGTTTGCCAGAGATCACATGGATGATACAGCAGAGGATTGGGAGAATGTCATGTGGTCAGATGAAACCTAAGTAGAACTTTTTGGTATAAACTCAACTCGTCGTGTTTGGAGGAAGAAGAATACTGAGTTGCATCCCAAGAACACCATACCTACTGTGAAGCATGGGGGTGGGAACATCATGCTTCGGGGCTGTTTTTCTGCTAAGGGGACAAGACGACTGATCCGTGTTAAGGACAGAATGAATGGGGCCATGTATCGTGAGATTCTGAGCCAAAACCTCCTTCCATCAGTGAGAGCTTTGAAGACGAAACGTGGCTGGGTCTTCCAACACGACAATGATCCCAAACACACCGCCCGGGCAACAAAGGAGTGGCTCCGTAAGAAGCATTTGAAAGTCCTGGAGTGGCCAAGCCAGTCTCCAGACCTCAACCCCATAGGAAATCTGTGGAGGGAGTTGAAAGTCCGTGTTGCTCGGCAACAGCCCCAAAACATCACTGCTCTCGAGAAGATCTGCATGGAGGAATGGGCCAAAATACCAGCTACTGTGTGTGCAAACCTGGTAAAGACCTATAGTAATGGTTTGACCTCTGTTATTGCCAACAAAGGTTATGTTACAAAGTATTGAGTTGAATTTTTGTTATTGACCAAATACTTATTGTCCACCCTGATTTACAAATAAATTCTTTAAAAATCCTGCCATGTGAATTCATGGATTTTTTTTTCCACATTCTATCTCTCACAGTTGAAGTGTACCTATGATGAAAATGACTGACCTCTGTCATCATTCTAAGTGGGAGAACTTGCACAATCGGTGGCTGACTAAATACTTTTTTGCCCCACTGTGTATAAACTGTTGTTGTTCTCACCATTCTATTAGAAAAGTTACTGAAGTCCTTGACCATCACTTGTCTGAGTAGATCAGGGTCTGCTACCAGGACCACTGGTCTGCGGCCCAAATAATACCTGGAACGTACCATTAAACCATGTAGTTACATGTAGTGACAACATGTTAAATGTATGTTGTACTAACATGAAATGTTCCTGTTTAATTAACATGTATTTAACATGTTGGCATTACATAAAGAAGTTATAAAATCAAATCTAATTTCATGCAACCGATGTACATGATTCAATTACGTAAATCCAACAGATCTTTTTTTTCATTGCATGTTAGCCCAGACAAGTCAGAAAACGTCATTAAAACCTGCAGCTAAAGTTTTTACATATTAATTAATTATTTTAGACTGTAAAACATAGCTTTACTCACCCACTAATTTTGCCATATGTCTTTGTAATATCAGTGAGAGGTTTGAAAGCCCCCTGAAAAACATGCTTGTTGTGACTTTGAAGAAAGCAAATGCATTCATATGAAATGTGTTCTACTGAGTCCTTAAAGGACAAAAATAAAGAATGAAAGAGAAGGTGACATAATTTCTTTGTTAAACTAGATCTTACATTGCAAAACATGAATGGCACTGGCTTTGGATGTTTGATCCCACATCGAGAGAGGACTGAGAACGGATAGACTGAATACCTGCAGGGAAGGTTAAAATTTTAATAGAAGTGAAGAGACAAATACAAGGAGAACATATTTTTGACATGAAAACACATTTGGGTTTCTACGAGCAAAAAATAGACAAATCCATTGACAAATGACTGGTTTACCCACAGTAAAGAAGTCACAAATCCTGGCGTACACTTACCAGTAAAGGAGACCCAGAAAAACAAAAAAGAGGCTGAATGTGACAGAAATTGTGCTAGCCTCAACCTTAAACATGTTTATAAAGTCACCTACAGTCCCCATGATGGATACATCAAATGTAGGTTCCAAAATGATTATTGCTAATAGAAATAAAAACTTTTCCTTTTCCTTCAACAAACACACAATTACACTTGTTACTAACACGAAAACATCAAAAAGAGATGTGTTCTGGGATCTCAGACTGGTTCTTCTCCTTTTTGTCTCCCCCTCCCCTAAACCTGTTAATTATTCTTTTGAGGTGTTTGGCCATGTTTGTTTCTGGCCCATCTTGTTTATTTGTCTGGCCCCTGTTGGTTTAGACAGTCTTTTACCTAAATGACAACAAGCATAGAAATGAGTCATGGTGGAGAAGCTGACAACAAACAGGGAATCTGAATGAAGTGGGCGAAATGTCATCCAGTTATAAATCCTGATAACCAGGTTAAGACTGGAGCACACAAATTGACCCGACCCGTTAATCAGCACACCGAAAGAAGAGGATCTGGGGCAGGAGTCAGACACACAACCCAGCCAGGCGAGAACAGTGTTCTTTTTTCTTTTTTTTTTTTCTTGATTGCATTCAGTTTAGTTTCAAACCTACTTGTGTCTAATTTATAAAAATGTCAACAAAAATTTTATGATTTTCATTTTTCAAATGGCAGCTTTAGATTGTACAAAATAGTGTTTCTGGACTTTACAAAATGCAAAAAAGATGTGGGCCATAGAAACACTGTAGCAATGTAAAGACTTGTGAAACGTGCCTGCCTAAAAGTATGCAATTTATAGTTTACTGTGGAGGGGGGGTTGCCCATAAATATTTATTCAGGCATCATTAACCCACTGGGTGGAAATGCGCTTGTCTCCAGGGTAGACCTCTGGGGCTTGGAACTCCTCCATCTTCCATGGATCTCTGGGGGCAGAACTTTGGCCCCATCATACTCACTACTGAATACTCCTAGAGAAACCACAAGCGAGTGTACGCACACACAGGTGCTCACATGGTGCTCTCACATATGGACTTGGGCCTTTTGACACATCACCTCAGGCTGTGGTTGGCACTAAATGCACTGTGAATTATTACCATGTACTTTTCATCAAAAACTGTTACTGTTATACGTCCTCATACGGTTGGCACAGGGATATTTTGGTTGCGTTGTGTTTTTGCGTGTCCTCCTTTGTTTTTATTTTTCTGCAGGTCTAGAAGCAGATATTTTTATATCCTTTATTGTTTATTTTTGTGAACCATTCTTTTCCGTACCCCACCTTTTCCTTCCTTCTCCCCACCTTTGTCTTTCATTTCATTCTCTGTGTCCGTCAATATTTAAAACAACCAAAGTAATTTGTGATACAGTTTCGGTATCAGGCGAGGTACTATAGCTGAAGCTATACTGCTCCACCTGTGAGAGTAAAACTGTAAGGCTCATCTTCGGCGCTCAGACATCAATTCGGGGGGTGGGGGTTGTTACAAAACAATGAAAAACCAATTTTTCCTGCTGTTAGGTGGTGCCCTCTGAGAAAAATGTGAATCATTTCAATGTTGAGCTGTTCCTGTATCTTGAAGTGGAAAAATACTATGATGATGACAAGGATTACATTTAAAAAAGGTAACAGATTTATTTCAATCCGGTCCATATCAGTTCAGATTCATGCATTTGCCTGGAGTAAACCTCAGCCCAGTCTGATTTCCCAAAATCCAAAGCAACCTTTTATTAACTTTGGGGGAAACTGTTCACTCCCGTGTAGGGAGTGAGAGATGAGAAACCTCAGAGTAACTAACTAATCCCTAGTGATGCCGTATTATCCTGAGGGACATTGTCTTTCATATGAGGTGAACTTTCTGCACACAGAGACATCCTGTTGTCATACCAGACTGAAATACTTCAGTTGACTCACAATTTTTGTAAGCTGTAGTTATTCTTAACTAATTCCTCACAGAAATACAACAATATATGATAATATTTCATAGAAACACTACTTACTACATACAGTAGACGTGACAAAAATCCAGATTTCTGTTCCAAAACAACATATTCCATTGACGGGACACCTTATGTGCATTTTTACAAAGTCAATTCTAGTTTTGCGTGTTTTATTAGAAGACCTGTAAACCAATGCTTGGGCAGCTTTGTCATTTGTCCCATGTCCTTGTTCACGAGGTCATAATTGACCCTTTTTTGACCCCTATTAGTTTAAACATACTCTACTTTGATGATCCAAGGTTCACAATGGAAACATTTTAAAGAACCTCAGTCAAATATGTGTTGTTACATTCATTTCAGGGTTAATGCCCTTAGATTTAAAAAATATATAATAAGAAGAATATCTAAAAAAAAACAATATAAGAAACCATCAAAGTTGTCAATTATTCATTTTATTTCCAAAGAACTTTTAAGTAAATTGTCAGTGAATCACTCATTTTGTGTATAAGTAAAATAACATAAGTAGAGAAATTGTTTTATATGATTAAAATCTTTCTTTAATGATAACTGTTACTGAACAGTCAAAATGTTGCAAATAAAACAAGATCAGATAGTCTTTTAAATAAAGAAAATGTGTTGACGGTAAATTTTCCCATTTAACAAAAAACAAACTGAAACATGTGTGAAGAGTTAACTTAGCGCTATGTAAATGAAAAATAAATAAATAAACATGAGACAGAGACCCACAGTTTTAATATAGAATCAATCAATCAATTTTATTTGTAGAGCACCTTCCGCAACGTTATCAGAAGTCCAAGGTGCTGAACAGCATCATCATAAAAACATTCCCAGTACCTGGGCATAAAAGCAAGATAAAAACATAAAATCATAAAATAACAAGCAAGCAATATTACAAATACAGAGAGATAACGGAATTAGACTAATCAAATTAAAACAAATGGTGGACAAAATAAGATCAAGCATCCTGATCAAACAGAAGAAGTATTAAAAACCATAATGAACCCTAGCGCTGAAAAGCAATCAAATCAAAATGAGTCTTTAGACGAGACTTAAAGACTTGAAGGGACGACGCCTGCCTAATGCTCAATGGCAATTCATTCCACAGAGTTGGAGCCAAAACAGAAAATGCACGATAACCCCTCGATCGATATTTCGACCGGGGGACCACCAGACGTCCCTGCTCGGCTGAGCGAAGAGACCGAGATGGAGCATACTTGTGCAAAAGTGCAGTAATGTAAGAGGGGGCACTGCCCTGGAGGGCCTTCAAAACAAGAGTTAAGATCTTAAATTTAGCTCGACATTGCACCGGGAGCCAGTGCAGAGCATCCAGCACTGGAGTAATGTGATCTCGACATCTAGTACCTGTCAGGAACCTAGCCGCTGAGTTCTGTACGAATTGGAGCCGTGCAACCGTGCACTGGGCCAGACCGGCATATAGAGCGTTACAGCCGTCCAGACAGGACAGGACGAATGCATGCAACACAGACTTCAGATGAGCTCTGGACAGCAGAGGCCCGATCCTGGATAGTCGTTTCAGATTAAAAAAACAGGACCTCACCACTGTATTTACGTGTGGCAAGATTAAGTGAGGAGTCAATTTTTATCCCCAAATTACTGACTATTTTCTTTTCATAGGGGGTCACAGCTGGTTGTGTTTTACTAAAGATTTCAGTGAGATTTGAGGTTTTAATAATCTGATTGAGGGTCATTTGTCTCTTCTCCCTGGTTTCTCCTTGTGACTTTCACAAATATGCCATCCTTAGGTCCTAGAGTGCCAAATGACTTCAGGTTAAGAGGAACCTGAAAGACAAAAAAAATGTCCTTAAATTGAAGGTCAGTCTTTTTTTACATTTTTATACAAAAGTTTAAATAGGGGTCAGGGGGTAATGATATTCATGAAAATGATGAAGTGTAAGCACATTCCAAATAAAAAAATGTTCAGACAGAGTTACATTTATACCCAGATAATAATGGTTGAGCAATGGGATAAAAACAACACTTTTGTTTGTTGCTGAGTCAACCCACCTTGGTCTCAGAACAGGCCACAATGTTGAATCTGTGGAACAAATGGACTAAAGCCATTTTCATTTCCAGCTGGGCGAGCCTCATTCCCACACAGTTACGAGGTCCAGCCCCAAAAGGCAGGTAGGCGAATGGATGTCGACTGGCCTTGGCTTCAGGTGTAAACCTGGAGGTCAAGAACAGGTGAGAAAAGTTAGGTTTTAAAGTGTTTAGAGAAGATCTTAAAAAGGTCACAATGTCTGTGTAAAAAACACACATGTAAAACAACATTTACATGGTTTAAACACATGATTTATTTTGCTTTAAATTGTACTTTTTTAAAATTTACTATTTTGCATTTCGGTTTTGACTAAATGCACTTTTGATGTAAATGCTAGGACTTTGATCATAATAAAATACTCCTATAACCCTCCTTTAGTTCCAGAAAAGATTATTTTAACAAGTGTGCACCTAAAAATGCAAACAGCACAGAGTCAGTTTGTCATGTGGCTCCAAGCACAAAGACCTGCTGTCCAGCAATGGAGACTAGGAAGTGAGGTGGGGGAGGGGTGTAGCATTGTCTGACGGAGTAAATCTGCTCACGTGAGGGCGTGAACAGTGGCAAAGAAGTGTGCCACAGAGTAGCTGCGGGAGGGCGGGGAAGTGACTTGTCAGGGAGTGTGAGACGGCAAACAGTGCTGTCTCGCGGGGTGATCGAGCATTTGTGTATGCTGCCCCAAAGCTATGGAACTCATTGCCCATTGGAGTTCGGCAGGCTCCATCTCTGGCGGTTTTTAAATCTCGTTTAAAGACCCACTTTTACACTTTGGCTTTTAGACAGTGACTCGTTTCAGAGTTTTATTGTATCATTGTTTTAATTGTGTTCTTAGTATTCATCATGGTTTATCTGCCTTTGATTGAGATTTTTATCCTCTGTTTTAGCTCCTTGTAATGGTTGTGTTTTGTTTTAGCCTGTGCAGCACTTTGGACAGCTCCCATGCTGCATTTTAAACGTGCTATATAAATAAACTATGCTATGCTATGCTATGCTGTCAGATGACAGCTTTTAAATCAGTGGGTTTGTGTGCAGTAAGAGAAAACTGAAATGTTTGGCTTTTAAAATGCATGTGTGGCAAGGTGGAGCAACAAGAGCCCAGGCGGGATTTGATCCCCAGACTCCCAGGTCAGAGTCATGCACGCTAACCAGTCAGCCAAAAGGACATCCCCTTGGCCAAGTAGCCAGGGCGCATGATCAATCAGGATACAGTGACACTCACCCTGTCACTCATATAAACCCTTGTGTCTGACTGAAGTCAAACCAACCCTGATAGTGCAGTTGACAACTGAATTTCCCTTCATTTAACTGGCATCCCAGCTTACGGCTGAGCTATGACCTGTCTGGAAGCTCCCTCTTGCAGAAGTGGCAAAACCGCACACGCTGTTTTCTGAAAATATCACTGTCAAAAGACACTGCATGAATCTAAAGTGTAACGCCATCAAACAGTGCAATATGTATGTGCTAAAATATGCTGTGCTGCAGCATTTTTCTGTTTCATAGGCCATTGGTCAAGTCCTACTTTTACACCGTCTGCTTCAATTCCACTAAGTAGTTTATTTATTGTGTAACTATTGACTAACTGAAAGAATGTCAACATGAAAAGACGTATGTCACAGCATACTGTCTCATGGCTGAACAGACCTAATTCAATCATTCGATTTCCTAACGAACACGTAAACTCAGATAAAGGTTCCCATTCTATCTCAGATAATAGCTCAAATATTGCCAATGCTCAATTTAGATGTGAATGTAACCGCACTGACCGACTTGAAAATTTGTCAGCCCTCTGGGGCCGGCTTGTCACCTGGGAGCCCCAAGCAGTTGCCTGCCTTTCCAGCAAGGTTCACTTGTGGCAATCATTTAATTGTCTTAAAATGACAAAATAATATTTTTTAAGATCGAAAAGATTCCAAATCCATTGTCCGTATATTATCCTTGGATGAAGCTGAATGAGTATGAATAACAAGCTAAAATCAATGATTATTGTTTTCGCCTTGCACAGTAAATGCATCACTATCCCAACAAAACCTGATTGAATTGTTACAGTTAAACGAGGCCAACTTTTTATGAGATTTAGAAATAACTGAAACACCTCTCAGGGATGAACTTCTCTGGTTCTGGCCAGTGGTCTGGGTCAAGATGGAAGAAGCCTGGAAAAATGTCCAATAGCACCCCTTTAGGAAGAAACTGGCCATTTATCACACAGTCATGCTCAACTTCTCGAGTGTACCTTGAATGAAGAAATTAGCACAGAAAACATCTTTTTTTATAAACTCCCCCTCAGTTTTCATGTATTTATCCTGCAGTTTCTTTTTTGAGTGCAGTTTTTGAACAGCTGTAATTTAAAGAGCAAGTCATCCCCAAATCAACATTTTTTTTGCTGATAAACTATATAAATGAGTGTCTAGTTGTGCTGTAGACACGTGTATTCAATAATTTGGCACATCAGTGCATCTTCGTTAAACAGTAACTAAACCCCAAAATAACGGTTTTGCTTATAAACTGTTTAATTGGGTCTTTCCAAATGCAATCTTTCTGTTTCTGTGACTTTTTTGTCATGTTTGTGTAAACTTGACTACATCTAGATTCTAGGTCTAAAAACATCTTAGTGCTGCCCTCTGTGGGTTGAACTGAGGCTACTGCCTTTTAAATTTTTGATTGACTGGGGTTGGTACAATTTCACATCATCAGTACAGTCTCCTCCCACTACCCCCTCCTGGGATGGAAAATCCCCACACTTGGCCATGCCACTCTGTGCCTCCTGGCAACGCCCACTTTTATAGCATTTTTCAAATCTTGACTAAGGGTGGAGTTACGTTTTCTGGTGGTGTGCAGTCCCTCTTTAACTCATTCACTGCCAGCCGTTTCCTGATTGGTAAAGCCCTTCGCTGCCAGCATTTCTCAGCGTTTTTATTGTTTTTAAAGAGTCACAGAACGTTGGGCGCTAGGATGATGTTGACGCCAAAACTACCAAAACAAAGAGTATAGACTCACCTCTTACATCAGTGTTGGGTATTTTTATGTCCCTAAAATAAACCACACAAGAGAAAGGGTCAGTAAGGTTTTATACGATGGATGCAGCGGAGAGCAACCGGCCGAGAGCCTGCAAAGGCCTTCGTCCAATCTGCTCTATCCTCTCACCCAAGCGGTTTTATTGAAACACAGGAAAATATGAACAAAGAACAATCCATCACTGTCCTACACTAGCCAATTACAGAGTTGCTTCTAGGCTAAGGCAGGACATTCCAAAAAGGAAGTCCTAATTTATGGCTGACAGCCAGAAACTGCTGAGTCACTCAGAAACTAGGACAGTTTTCCTGTTGCCAGGCAGATTATTCCACCAACCCCCACAGCATCCCAGAGCTTGACTGAAAGGAAAGAAAAGAAACAGCCCTGAGGCCTAATTTTACAACATGATTACTTAAAAAAGAACATTTAAAACTGTAAAATACATTAAAAACCCTAACAATCAGGAACGCGTTTCAAGCATTATCCATTTGTTTATAATTCCGTTGTCGAATTGTGATCGGCAGAAGCTTTTCTGGTTCGCGCCTCACTTTTTTTTTACAGCAGCGGCCCAAAACAATCTCCTAACACATGGATTTTCTGCTTCCTGATCACGTGACATGTGACGTACATGGATGAAGATCGGCTTTAGAGCTGGGATGTTTGTTCACACAGTGCAGTGGCTCGTTCCGACGCCCACACGGTAAAAAAAATGCAAATTACGACTTTAGTCGTCAATGGCAGTGAATGAGTTAAAATTTACATATTCTGTCTAAAACGGTCAGTGTTCATCATCAGGTAAAAACTCGGTACTGCATTTGAATTTAAATCTGCCAGCGCTATTGGCTAAGAGGTACACAATGACATCAGCTGATATGTCACAATGCTGCTGCGAGCCTGTGTGTGCATATGTGCTGGTGGCTCTGCCCTCTCGGTCTGCCAAGCAACAGCATTTGTTGCATTTTTCGAACATAAAGTGGGAGTGGAGTAATTTTCTTGTAGGGGGTGACTTGCTCTTTAATAATTTTACACTCAAAGGTCTTGATTCCTTACCTGAAACCAGGAGGGTAGAGCCTCAGTGTTTCACTGATAACCATGTCTAAATACTTCAGCTCTTGGACATTTCCGTAATCTGTTGACTCCTGTCAAATATGAACATTTGTTTAAATTATCAATAGTCTGATGGTAAAAATAGTATCTGACTGGATCCAGAAAACAACTGAACTCACGTGTCTTTTAAAGAATTCATCCACCTCCTCCTGGACTTTGTGCTGACATTCAGGATGGAGGGCCAGCAGGTAGCAGCAGAAGCCTAACGTGTTGCTACTCGTTTCATAACCTGCCAGGAGGACGACTAAAGACTGACCCACAATCTCATCCTCTGTTAGCGTCCTTTTTTGTGGACAATTGATGAGCGATTCCTCTGGATGAGGACCGCTGGGTTCACGCTTGGATGCCGATGGCTGTGTTTCTTGGCTCCTGTCACCAAACTCATCAGAGTGATTTAATGTGTCAAAGTGTTCCAAAGAAACGCTCTCATGGCCAGTCCGAGCATCTAAGATCAGCTGAAGGAGATCTCTACGCCGCTACAAGCAAAAATCCTTGTTTACATCATTCCAAAGAAGACACCTGTATTGAGTAGATAGAATTTTCAAATATTAAACCAGACACCTACCTGATCAGGAGGCTGTTCTTCTCTCTGCTTTATGATCTTCTGAATGCTGCTGATGAAGAATTTGTCAATCTGGACTTGCCTTTTGTTAGGGATGAGTCGTACAAGAGGAGTCATGAAAGTAGGACAGAGAACTGTGCAAACACACCCAGAAAATGTCAGCAAATTTAAAATGTGAACTGTCTATACGTGTCAATGCAAATGTTACATGCATGTCTATTGTGCATTAAAAAAAACATTTTTTTCTGGTTACCTTCAGCATCTGTTTTCAGGAGTTAAAAAAAATCTGTTTCAACCAACCCTATTGAGAGTTGGGATCACTACTGAATGATTTTAAGGACTTTTTTTTACTTACAATGCTAGTCGGATCCATTCACTTTCTGTGTTTTATGCTAAGCTAAAGTAAAAGGAGTACAGCCGGGTCAGGAGAATGACTGGGCTGGTATTTTATTTTATTTTTTTCCCACTTATTTAACTTTTAGAAATATGTCAACAGACAAAATTTCAATTTTGGCAGCAACATCCCTTCAAATTTTTCTGGCTAAATTTTATATTTTAAAATTTATATACAACAAATCTGTACAGAAGAGAAAGACAAAACTCTTCCCCAGTGATGTGGGAGACTCATCACCAACTACTACAAAGACCTGATTGTGATTGTTTCCAGCCAAGGTGATACGTTTGGTTATAAAATTCAGGGAGCAATTCATTTTTCTAATAGAGCAAAGTTGGTTTAGACAGCTTTTATTTACTTTAAATTATTTTAAACAGCATCTTGTATTTTCTAGTCATCTTAAATGGACTTGTTTGTTGATCTGAAACATTAAAGGCAAACAGCAGCAAAATGACAAATACATTTTCACACAACTCAAATCTTCCGTAAGGGTCAGTGACTTACTGGTAAACAGCGTGAGTGGCTTCAGGAAAGGCATGGTGAAGAACATGTTAGCGTGTTGAACCAGCGGATCGTCTGGGTTTTTCTGGGAGTCCACTTGGGTGCCAAAAGCTACGTTGATGATGACATCCATGGTGAAGCAGCCAAAACATCTACAGGAAAAAAGAAAGACAGATTAAATACGATAAACAGAAAGACTATTTGTGCTGATTTTCAGTTTGTTTGTGACCTGTAGATGTCAAAAGCTTTTCCCGACTCAGCATGGTTATTTAGGTTGTCCATCAAAGAAACGACGGCTGTGTTGATGAGTGGAACCATCTATGGGAGAAAGATATGTGAGCATTAATCCAGTGATTATCTGTTTTCTGACAAAAACATCATTAATAATCTCACTTCTTTCAGCTTGGCAGCACTGAAGGAGGGAGTTAGGATGCTCCGAACCCTCTTCCACCGTTCATCCCTCAGCCTGAGCAGACCGTCTTTCATGGGCTTGGTGGTAACAATAAACTTGTGCACAACATTTAGAAAATGTGGGGTTATAATACATCAGAGCTTGTACTGAAACTATGGTATCCTGTTATTGTTCTCACCATTCTATTAGAAAAGTTACTGAAGTCCTTGACCATCACTTGTCTGAGTAGATCAGGGTCTGCTACCAGGACCACTGGTCTGCGGCCCAAATAATACCTGGAAGGTACCATGAAGCCATGTTAGCCCAGACAAGTCAGATCAAGTAAATAACACATGCAGCTCAAGTTTTTATAATGAAAACATTTAAACAAGTTTATACTGTAAAACATGGTTTTACTCACCCACTTATTTTGCCATATGTCTTTGTAATATCAGTGAGAGGTCTCAAAAAGCCCTGAAAAACACGTTTGTTGTGGCTTTAAATAGCATTAATTTAAGATCAAATAATTCTATTGAGTCCCTAAAAATTACAACTTAAAGAGAAGATGACATAATTAGTTAAATTTGATCTCACATTGCGAAACATGAGCATGTTCCCAAAGAACGGCACTGGCTTTGGATGTTTGATCCCACATCGAGAGAGGACCGAGAACGGAGAGACTGAATACCTGCAGGGAAGGTTAACATTTTAAAAGAAGTGAAGAGACAAACCCAAAGAGAACACATCTTTCACATGAAAACACATTTGGTTTAGAGATTTGAAAAAGGCAAATGTTATGAGAAATGACAGATTTCATTATCGATGTGATTTTGGTTTACTTCCAGAGCACTAACACCACAAATCCTGGCGTTTACTTACCAGTAAAGGAGACCCATGAAAACGAGGAAGAGGCTGAATGTCACAGAAATTGTGCTGGCCTCAATTTTAAAGATGCTTAGAAAGTCATCTGCAGTTCCCATGATGGAACACACTTTAGTTTTTAACAAAAGGTTAAAAAATCTTGTTGCGGATGCGATTAAACAGTTTGCCTTTCTGTGGAATAAAAATCACACATTTACACCTGTTTTTGACACGATCACACCAGAGGCAGTCTGCTTGCGTCCTGTTATCTTAGACTGGCTCCTCTGCTTTTTCCAGAAAGCTGTTAATTATTATTTGGAGG